GCGGCATGCGGGGACTGGAGGGTCTGCTCTGCCTCCAGAAGCCGGCCATGCCGCCTCCACCCCCACCCTCGTTTACTAGAACACCGCCACCGACCGCCTCCTGCGCCGCTCCACCCTCCACTTCCACGTCCTCGTCTTCCTCCACGTCGTCCTCTTCTTCTTCGGCCTCCTCCTCCTCCTCCTCATCGTCGTCGCTGCGAGCGCCTCCACCTGGCATCGTGTTAGACGTGGTCGCGGGTGTCGTAGACGTCGTCGTCGCGACGCCGCTAGGTGTAGTTACTGTTACTGCGTTCGCTTCTTTTGAGGAGTTCCCGTTTTGCGCCTCTGGCTCCTCTTTTTGCATTACACCTAGTTCGAAAGGGATCATGAATGACTTTCCTAGCAAATTTCATGAAGCTTCATAAAAAGCCTTGAGACTTTATCATACTCTACGCTGTTCAATGAAAGTTTGAAACTTACATCGAAAGTCTCAATGTTAGATACAAAGTATGATAATACCAAGGGTATTGCAGAAATTAAAATATGTTTCAGGTTCGAGTATCTTATCGGCGATCAGTCTAGTGATGATAATCTCGCTGGATAATTAGCTCTCACCTGGCTCCGAGGTAGTGGTTGCAGTTCCACCAGCCTCGTTGCCGCCACCCACGCTTCCGTCACCCGCTACCTCCTCGTACTGCCCCAGCCTGGAGCCGGCACGCAAACTCGACTGATTTTCAGCTACGATCATCGGCACACAGCCGACGCCTTTTGCCTCCTCTCTCCTTAGACTTCCTGGAAAAAAGAAATTCGAAGAGAAATTAGAAATGAAATTAGAAACGTAGGCCACCACTTTTCATATCTATCACTATAGATAGTTGACTTCTAAACTAGCCTTCAGTTAGGTCCTTAGTTAACAATTATATTAACTTATAAGTTAATTAATGTTTAACCAAAATAATTTACAAATTGGCTTCTATATTAACTAATACATTAAGTAATATATTATATTAAGTAATAATATATTTTGTAAATTAATTAACTTCAAATTTCCACAGATAATAGAAGGAGTCAATAAAAATGAAGGAGTCAGTCTTTGCAAGGAGTCATTAAAAATGAAGGCTGCAACACAGTTCCCAACATGAAGTTAATTCGTAAATTATCTTATTCTCATTAGGTTAGTACACACTTAATTAGCACATCTTACATCGCGACAAGTCCGTTAAAATAATGTAACTTTAAGGTGGACAGAGCCTGGAGGTGCTACCTCTGCGTACCTCGATCAACTGATGCCAGCCAGCGCTTCCAAGCAGTTTTACCGTAAAATTGCTTGTCAAAATTGATGGATCGTCAAACGCTGTTTTTTCTCCCTCAAGAATTCAAGGTTTCTTCTTTACGCCTACACCTGCAGTATGAGAAGCGTTGTCCAAGAAAATATGCCGGCAAAACGTCCACGTGTCGCGTGATTGCCAGAGATTCCTGATCGATTGACCGTTCAACGCTTACGATGCACTTTTACATTATAGCTGCGGTTTACTGCAGATCAATCGATCGACTTCATCTTACCTAATCAAAAAATCCACTAGATTCTACGAATTTAACACTCCTGCAGTTTTGGATTACATATCAGATGTGTAGAGAGTCAATGGTTCGATAACAAACACTTTACATCGTGCACCTTCACAAATTAAGGTCACGAACACTATTCAAATCTATTAACTTCAGATTTTCAAGTTCTTCAGATTTCAAGACTAACTAATTTCCAAATAAAGCTTTCAGGTCAGTTAGCTTCTAGTTAAAGTCAACTTCACTTTCAAGTTAACTTCTAAGTCAGTAGAGTTTTATTATATGCACTACAAAGGTTTGTTCAAAGCAGGTTCCATGGTTCAAGACCAACATCACGTAACGGCTTTACACCAGCGTACCTTGAAGAGCTAGGGTCACGAACTCTGAGCACGGATTTAACCAGCCTGCTATCTTCGACCATTGAGTCACATCTAACCATAGATGTTCATTTAAAAATTTCAGACTGTAGCGAGTAACTCTTCTAGGTAGTTGCACTTGTCACGAGGAGATCCATTCTGGCACAGCAGGGGGTGCAGCATTTCCATTCATCGCACTGACGTTCTTATCGAGCCAGTTGCAAGAAGTTCCTCGTATTTCTTTTCACTATATTCTAATCTCCAGCGTAAACTAATTGTTATTGAAGAACGTATCGGTTTCAGAGCGCCGAAAGAAAGAAAAGTGCAAGATGGAAAAACGCGTGCAACGCCGTGATCGTTCATCGACACCAGAACACGAGATAAGAGACCGGCGTAACCGCGATGGTATACATATTCATGCGTCCTTCAACGATGGCGTCCCGACGTCGAGTGTGTCGCTCCGAGGGACAGCAACGAACCACGCTACCTCGGCGCCGCCGTCGTGTCCGTCGTCCACGTCTACGTCGCCGTTCTCCTTGCCCCAAGACATTTGCCGGCATCGACGTCCGTGTCAGTGAACCGACGCCGGCGAAACGAGCACCGAACTTGTTGCACCGCGACCAGGAAGCTACGCGCAAGCCTCTTCCGTTCAAATCACCTCGACGAACTTGTAGTCCATGATAATCGATACCATCATTACGAATGCGAGATCTACTGAGAGATTTTAACATTCAAAAATTCGACTGTAGACTTACAGACTTCTACAAGAATTTTTTATGAAGGATTAATAATTTTTGGAGGAAAATGAAGTACAAAAATCATATAGTTTTGTCATTCTATTAATTGGAGGTCAGCTAACTAGCTGGAAGTTGTCTAACTTTAAGAGAATTTGAAGTACAAGATTCATATTTGTTATTCTATTAATTGGAGGTCAACTAACTAGCTGGAAGTTATCTGAGTTTAAGAGAATCTGAAGTACAAGATTCATATTTGTCATTCTATTAATTGGAGGACAACTAACTAGCTGGAAGTTATCTAACTTTAAAAAAATCTGAAGTACAAGATTCATATTTGTTATTCTATTAATTGGAGGTCAATTAACTAGCTGGAAGTTGTCTAACTTTAAGAGAATCTGAAGTACAAGATTCATATTTGTCATTCTATTAATTGGAGGACAACTAACTAGCTGGAAGTTATCTAACTTTAA